TCTTATTTTAGTGAATATTCATGAAGTCCAAAGCATATTTAAAGTATTATTCAGCAAATGAATTACCAGTATTTCCATGCCGGTCCATGTCTACCCTTATGGATATGATCGATGACCCAAACTGCAGCATGGCACATTTCATGTAACAATGTATCACGTAGCCGTTCTATAATCAAATTTACTTCATTTGCATATCTTTTTGAAGCTCTTTTATTCTTATATGAGAAGGAAAATACTGATCAATATGTCCCATAATTAATTGTTATAAAATTATAAAATTAAGTGAGATAAAACAACTGATTATTTATTTTGCATGTAAAATACAAGTTTTGTTATATTTTAAAAAGCAAAATGAACGGTGATCTACCTGGAGTATCACAAACTTTGATGGAAAGTTCGATATCGGCTGTGCCATTTGGTTTGCAACGACAGCGACCTGCTGTTAGTCGTAATCGTGCATTCCAATTTAGTACCATATTTGGATCTAACTGAAATTTTGTTAATTCAACATAAATTAAATTTAGTTGAAACCAAAATGAAAATCGGAAATTTTCTCCCTCAAAATTACATACTACGTGCATACAATTTAATCAATGAAAAAGATTCAAAATTTATCAAATTTTACTTTATTTTCGAAACAGCGTCTTCTATATACATCAAACAATTTCGCCGTCAATTCTTTTCGAATTCGTGGAAATTTAGCCGTGGTATATTTTTGAGCAACTCGATGTACAGGACCACTTTGTGAAAGAGCCAAAAGGAAAATTTCATCATCATCTTGATAACTCTGAATTAATTCGCATAACTCTCTGCTGTTTCTTTTTCCAGCATTATTTAATATCATTATAATAGTTTAAATTGAATCATGATGAAAAAAAAGAAAAGCAAATTCACCGTTTTCTGAGTATTTGATACACTTTGTGATTCCAAAAGCATATTGGCATGTTTATCTTTGTTTATGTTTTCTGAAAAGTATAGAAATAATAGGTGAAAAATTTAGACACATTAATATAAATTTTCCGATTGCTGTTACTGCCAGATAAACTTCTTTAGACTCAATGAATAGCATACCATTTCTCCTCAAAAATTTTTGAAATCCTAGAAATTTACAGATATATACATTCAAAATATTACTTTCTATTGGCGGATGATGCCAATATGTTGCATACTCATTGCTAATGTTTTTTGGGAGATGTCGAATTTTCTCATCCCCAATATTATTAATTATTTCACCAATTAGCTGTACATCATCGCTTGAGCTTGATTCGCATTCTGAGTTACACTCAACGTTGAACTCGCTATCAGACATGATTAACCTGAAAAAATAAATAGTTAAATCTTGATTAATATTTACCCGTTAAGAAAGATTATACTAATAACTACATTAAGAATTACCATTCTCACTGAACACTTATCACAGTTAATTAGTATTTAATGAATAGCGATATAGTTTGAAATAACTATAAAACTTGTATCAAATTTCAACAGGCTTTCATACACGTTCCCGAGGATTGAGACATCTTTTTTTTAAATATTCAGTAAACATTCTGAGATAAAAAAGATGAATCTATGTATGAAAATTTGTAAAAACAGGAAGCAATAGCAAGTGGAGCTAAATAAATTATTAATTTCTGTTATAATCAATGCCTGCTATATTATTTTAAATTAGAAAGATTTTCCAGCGAAAAAAAAAAAAAAAATTGGGACAAAAAGGATAAACCTATACAATCAAGACGAAATTTACCCATCTAAATCGTGTGACTTATACGTTTTTGTAACAGATGATTGAGTTTTGACTTCTTTCAAGTCTGGAAATTGGAATTTTACAAATTTTCATTTCAAAATAAAAGAAAAAAAAAAGCATTCGAATCCAGCGTACTAATAGGTTACAAGCGAGAAGCACGAACCATTGCGTCTATACAAAATGCCACTATCCACACTTGGCCACTCACTAATCAATATGCAAATTTTTTCGAAAATTTTCCTCAAGAAAAAGCATTACAGAAATATAGTATGAGACATACATTTTTCAAACTTCTCATCACTATCCTCATCAGATAGTGCAAGTTCATTGCATATTTTGTTACCGTAATTATTCAACGAATTTCTGAAATAGAAAACCCAGGAAATTCATAATAATATGTCTAAGCATTAATCATTTTAACACCTCTTTGATCTATTCTTGGCTTTCTAAGTTGCTGTTATAAGTTATTGGTCGTTAATCTTAATCCATGAGAGCTTCTTGGCTACTATCTTCTTAATATATCAATTACATTTGTTACGATATTGAAGTGATCATTTTTTTAAAGATAAATTTAACAATTAACTATTAGCTATAGCTGCATATAACTCAACCTTATTATCCGTTAAATTTGTCCAATTTCTACTTGGCCTCAATTGTTAGGCTTTACTCTACTCTAATTTAATGCCTGATTCATCTTGCATTATAGTACTTTACAGCACTCAAAAAAATTCACCATCAAAATCCGCTATATAATAAAATACCTCTTAAGATTCACATTCTCTTTCAATTCGGGATATAACTCAAATAGTGTTGAAACTTTTTTGCTATCAATGCTTGCATCCGAAAGATCGCTTTTGAAAAATGACGAAAATTCCGCGCTTTCCTGCAAAAAGGTGATCAATAAAAGACAATAAATCATGAAAACGCTTTTACGTATAATATTTAAGCCATCGATCAGTTCTTCAAGTCTTAAATAACCTTTTCTAATTCCTTTCGTATAATTTTTTGCCGTTGTCGATTGTAAGTGCTTTCTTTCTTTCTGTAGGATTTCTCATCGTTTGATATATTTGAGGAATTCTCTGAAAAAAAAAAAAAATTCCGCTTTTAAATTTTATTATTTAACCTAGTTAGACATTTTAATCCAATTACAGCTTAATCTAATTAGACATTGGCACATTGAAAATTAAGTATGAGAATAAAACCTTCAGAAGAAGTGTAATCCTTAACGAGAAAACTATCTTCCAGATAAGTATCGTCACTGACGCTTGTTGCTTCATCATCCGTACGATCAACTCGATGTCCATACGTGTTTCGTCTCGTGAAACTCAACGTTTCCAATAAACGACTTATGTCTCTGTTAATTTTTTATTATTTTTTAATAAAGAAATAAATTTGTTATTAGAAAATTCAAATCTAATCCTTGAAACAATTTGAATTTTATCATTTAATCAAAACTTCCCATATTTCTTATTAATTATTACTAGCAATATGTTGCCACTTTTTTTGAATCATAAATTGCTAATAACTAATCAGAATAAATTAAGCTAACTTATTTTGAATTAGAAAAAATGCCAAACTTATCTTAATTTCGAAATACATAAAATAAAATTTTACAACTTTTTATAATAATAAATCATCTTATTACAACAATAAACTTACTGAATATTGCCACCACTATTTTCATCATTTTCGTAAATATCACTTTGTACTTCATCAATATCCTTATCACTTTCATCATCATTATCATTGTCATCGTCAGTTGAAGAATCACTGATAATAATTCGTTGATATTGTGACATGTTATGATCACCTAATTGTAATTTTATTTATTATCATTTCAAAAATGTTTGACTATGAAAATGTCAAACATTTTTTATTTATCATCATTAATTATCATCACTTATCACTGCTTATCCTATATCACACGATACACTATCATTTTTACAAATAATCAATACTTTTTACTGCGACACATTTACGATAATCACATATTGTACCAATCACTTCCTTATCAAAAATATAAATCATCCTATTTTAGTTATCACTTATCAATCAACAAATCACCATCCCTAATCCATCAATCCATTCCCATCTATTAACCTCCACCTTTCATCCCACTTCCTTCACTCTTCGTCTTCCCTTCGTTCCTTTTGAATCCGTCATTCCCGCCTTGTTTACTGTAACAAAAATTGCGCTAATGTCTAAAGGCGATTTCTCCGATACCACCCGCATGTGCGCTCTTTGTTCATTTGAATGCTTTCATTTCCCATTTATCATTTCATTTTATTTATAATATATTATTGAAATTTTGAAGAGAATTAATCAAATTTTAAAAAGTTTGCTTAAATTTAAACAAATTTGATTAAAATTAGATGAATTTAATTAAATTTAAGTTAAAAAAAATGAAAATTCATTGCTATTTATTTAAAAAAAAAAATGTCAAAAATATATTTAAGAAAAAATATTCAAAAAAATAAATAATAAATTGAAAACAAACTACTTAAGAAATTTAAATTAAAATTAAGAAATTTTTTGATTAGATTTAAAAGAATATATAGTAAACAAAAATATTGTAATGAAAAAGAAAAAATTATTTTTTTTGAGAAAATACAATTAATCATATTGTAAATACAGGAAAAATAAACCATACAATATGAAAAAAATGACGATTAGTAGGTAAAATTATTTAATAATTTCTGAACAAAAAATATTATTGAAAAACATTTCTTATAATAAGGAAAATAATTTAGTTAACATATTCAGATAATAATTATAATTTTTGAAAGGATTTATTAAATATGAAATATTTAAAAGGATTTATTAAACGTAAGTTGCAAGTTAAGTTATTTAAGATTATATTTAAGAAAGATTAAGTCGTGGTTATTTTCGACTAGACTTAAAATATTCACTCTGGCAAAAAGAAAAAAATGTTTAAAAATTTGATTTCACAAATTATAATTTTTTTTTTTTTTAATAGAAAAAATAGAAAAAAAAAAATAGATTAAAAAAAAAAATAGATTTTTTTAATAGATTAAATTTTAAGAAAAAACAATTAACTCAACCGCTTTTTGCATTTATTACCCTAACAAATCTGACTAATGTAAAGTTGGAATAAAATGAATTTTCTGAAATCGCAAATTTACATTTTAATTCGATAAACTTTTTTTTTTCATCAAAAATTATAAAATGGCACATTTTTTTTTAAATTATTAAATTATTATTAGTGGTAGAAATGCTTCATAGGATAATCATTTCAATGATTTTCATTTCTTTGTATGCTAATCAATTAGATAATAAAAGTTTGAGACGACGATGTGATTCACTGAATGGAATAACTTGTGAATGTGCTAATCCATTAGGTAAAATATCTTTAATTTTAGTCTCATCTGAAAATTATATCATTTATTTTTAAATTGCTAATATTTAATTAAATATTTTTTCTTTTTTCAAATGAGTAATGTATATTTTGAATTTTTCATTTATACGGAAGTGCAGAAAGTTCTCATAATCAGCGCTATACTTTGTGCTAAGTTTTTTAAAAAGAAATAACTTCTAGTTTAACGAATTTGAAACTTAAATTACAAAATTGTTTTAATATTAAAATTGAGACTGAAAGTTGTTACCTAATGGTTAAAAAATTTTTAACATTGTATTTTGAATATCAGTTTTACGATTTTACTAATTACAAATAGTTTTTACAGTTCAATGGAAAAATAATGAAGGGAAAATTTTTAAAATTAATGAAATCTATCATGGCAAAGAAATAATCCTTTGTTATATTATGGAATTTATCAATCACACAAATCACTATGTAAACATTCTTAAATTATTAAGCATGAAAAATTAAAATTGTTTACTTTGGAAAAAAGAGGTGAAAAGAAAAGTTAGAAACGTAAAATTTTTTTTCATCATTTGAATTATTTTTATAACTTTTATTTTGTTTTAAATTTTTAAAATTAATAAAATCTATCATGGCAAAGAAATAATCCAAAATAAGTTAACAAAGTAATTAATTAAGCAATGAAATTAAAATTTTATAGGATTTAGTAAGTGATGCACAAGGCTGTAAACATTTAGAAGAATATTACGATGTAAGCATGGAACCAGCATTATTTTTAACATTTCAAAATATGGAAGTATTAAATTTACATTTACAACAACATTTTGAAATTTATCAATCACAAGAAATTGACGCAACAACAGGGTTATCATTTGATATGATTAATGGATTCTTTTGGTCCAATAATACAAACGTTATAGATGAATCAATATTATCACTGATTAATCAAACCAATACCACTGATATATGTTTAAATTTTTTTTTAACTTATAATAAAGGTAATATAATGAATTAATTTTTACTTTATTTCATTTTAATCCTTTTTTTCAATGTTCGATATTAGTTTTACATTTTATACATATAAAAAAAGTAAATAATAAGATCTTCTAGTAAAGTAACTTTCTTTCCACTTACAATTTATGAGTGAAATTAATTGCAAAAGATGAAAGAAATAAAAATTAAATTCCAATTAATACAAAGGCAATCATTCTTAAAAATGTTATCAATTTAAAACTTTTACAGTTAGTTAGTGATCTTTTGCAATGATTTTTTCTTTTTCGAAGATATCATTAGTGAAATAAAAAATCTTACATAATCGGCTTTTTTTTTTTGTAAAAAATTAGATTTAAAAATTTTATTCGATTTTTGAAATTTATTAATTAAAGCATTAGCATTGTTTATTGCTAGAAATTTGATAATTTCTTAATTTAACTGTTTGCATTATTCATTGTGAATTGTTTTTTTTCCAGAAAAAGGACCAATTTTAAAAGCAAATAAATGCGATGCAATGATATCACAATATATTCGCATCTGTTATTATGCTATAGTGACTTCTTCTTTTTTTTCCTATCATATTGGCTATTTAGTAAAATCTCAATTAATCCTTTCAGAATATTATATCAATCCGAAAAGTATTATTACTTAGTACTAATTGCACAGAGATTAATTAATTTTTTGCTTAGGAATTTATCATCAAAATTATTATATTAAAATTCATAATTGGATGATTATTTGTTAAGAAATATGTGATAATTATGATAGACATATGATAGTGATAATGGCTAACAATCAAGGCAGATTATTTATCCATTGCAATATATACTTTAAAATAATATTAAATTGAACAGAATATGACTGAATTTCGCTAAGAGAAGAGAAACAATTTTACCTTAAGTAACTCTATTCGTTAAATAGTACTTACTTTTAAAATTTAAATTTCGACAATAGATGGTAGTAGTATAATTTTAGATTGTATAAAGCTTTAAATAACATTTATGATCTTTTACTTTAAAACTACAAAGTATGATGAGGAAGAAGTGATATACATCAATGATCATTGTGATAAATGAAAATAGTATCAGTGATAACAATGCGATAGTTATTTTGATAACAAATATATCAATGATGTAAATAATTTCATTTTAAGAATTATATCAAGTCAACAATAAAAATGACTGATAAGAAATATTTACAATTCAAAGCAGGAAACTTATTAAAGAATGTAAATGTAAATAATATTTCAAATATCAGTAATACTGGTAATAACATCGAATCAAATTTAACAGGTACAAAAAGTAACTGAAACGATTGACTTATGTACAAACAATTATTTTTGCGATAATTACTGATAATAGTAATAACAATAATAGTGATAATAGTGACACTGATAAATTAATGGAGAGTTCCACGATTTAATCATAATAAAACACTAAGTAGAAATTTATAGAGAAAGGCTAACACTAATTAAAATTTTTAATTAAATTACTCATTTGCAAAAAAAAATCAAGCAAAAGTGAATTTAGCAGATTGGTCTAACGAATGTTCGTATCTTTTATGGGAATATAATAACAGAAAGATATGCTATGTACCAGTTATTAAATATTTCAAACGAACAGTAAGTTATTCAGCAAAAAAAGAAATGAAAAAATAATTTGTCATAATTTATTTTAAATATTTCAATTAAAAAGAACGTTAGAACGTTTCCCTTTTTCTTTCTTTTATTGTTTAAAAAAGTTTTTTTTTTCTAGATAAGTTTTAATTAAAAATTTTTGGTTAAAAAGTTAACATATTTAATTATTTGCTTTACACCTATTACTTTATTTTAATTTTAATGATTACTCTACTAGAAATGATTAATTTTTGTTTTGCACTGTTTCCTTCATCATTTTCACTCCTATAAATAATCCGAATAGTTTTTTCGAACTGCTAATTCTAATATAGTAATTTTGTTATTTTTTTAATCTGAAAAATATTTATGTACTTACTTATTTGCTTACTTAACTTTTTATTCATATTAATGTTAAATGTGTAATCAATGATTGGTTAAATTGCAAATTAATTCCTATAATAATATTAATTCCAATTTTAATAAATCAATTCAAAAATTTAGGAATCACTGCACTATAATTTAATAAATAAAATGTGTTCAAGCAAATTTCCATGGATAAGCGCTCGTATACGTAATCGTAAACAAATTTCAATATTAAGAAATTTTACAGAATGTTATTTTTTACACATTTTTTTTTTTTTTCACTTTTTTAAATAATTATCCAATTATTATTAAATTTTTCATTAATATAAAATGAAATGGAAATATTTAGGAATAATATTTGATATCGAATTAAGAATATACGAATTCATTTATGATTTTTAGCATTTTTGGAAGTAAATCAAATTCATATTAAACATATACCAATATTAATTGGTTTAATTCATATGAGAGGAATGGGTTTCATTTGGACAACCGGTAATAACGGATCGTATTTAAATTCGTGGGATTCATCTTATGATAGCTTATACGATGAAATGCCATTTTGGATTGATCCAACATTTCATCCTTATTTGAATACAACTGAAATACATTGTCATCGATTTGTCATCTGGACACGTTAGTTTGTTCATTCATTTGCAGGAAAATAAAAGCAAACAAATAATATTTGACATTTTTTGAGATAAGTTTTTTTTAAAAAAAAGCTTTGTTTATACTAATCTGATCACTTCTATTTATTTATATATGTATTAGCATTTAAAGAAAAAAAAAAAAGCCAAGCTAAACAAATTACTATAATTTTCAAAAAATTTAAAAAAAAAAAAAAAAAAAAAAGAATTAATTTAATCAGTTTTATTGATGATAATTTTATCGTTCTTTTTCTTAGATACCAATGATAACTATGCACGTGCGATACCTTGCGAATATCCAACAAATGTTAATTTGGTACTTTGCGAATATGATTGTAAAATCAAATATAAATAATTTTCTTTTTTTTTTTTTTAATTAATATGTAACAGAATTAAGGAAGGATATTTAAATTTTTTTAATTAATCATTCGTAATAGTTATTAAATCTTTTGTGGAATGATAAATTGCTAATTATATGTGCTAAAATAGCAATTGTATGCTTTCTCCAAAGTATAAAAGTAGAAAGATAAATTATTTAACCGGATCAGGTATACCTGCAACGATCACTATAATTTAAAAGAAATATTTCTAAAAAAAGGTGAAAAACTTTTGTTTACCACTAATTTGGAATTTGATCTTTTTATGGTAAAATAACAAAAGATGATCAGTTGATTTCGTATTACAAGTAAATAAGTTAGTTATGTATGCAACGTTATTATTTTAATATCAAACAAATATTCATTTACATCAAAAAAAATTTTTTTCCCTTCCAAACAATATCCAATAAATTTAGTAAAAGGTTTAAAAATTTTTTGCTAATTTTATATCACTTTTCCGGATATTTTAAATTCGTGTCACTTTCACGAAAAAATTATCCTGTTACATTCCAATGATTAATTTTTGGAAAATGATTAGCTGGTTATTGCTATCCAGTACTAAAAATGTGTAATATTTTCCTTTTAATACTTTTTTGAATATAAAAAAATCATCGCAATTTGTATTGCTCAAATAAAATTTAATATACCAACTAGAAAACACGAATTGAAAAGTTGCTGTTTCATATAGTTTTTATATTAATAAGCAAATAAGAATAATAAACTAAATGATGTGGTTAATAAATAATAAGCGAAGTAAACAAGTAGATTTTATATTAATAAGCAAATAAAAAAAATAATAAAAGTGGTTAATAAGTAACAAAGGAGAAGTAAACGGTAACAAGTAAATAAAAAAAGATGTAAACAAATAAATAAGCAATGATATTGATAAATTTGTTATTTGTAAAATAAAATAATGCTAAAAAGTTTGATTTAATCGCCGTAATTAAAATTTGACAAATATATTTTTTAGATTCAAGTAAACTTAGTGTAAGAAATTAATTCAAAATTTGTATGAATACCTTTCAGTATTTTGTAAATCTTATTTTGAAATTTTATTCGACTAAAATTACATCTCATATAATTGAATTGAAATGAGTCGTAGTTGAAATGAAAGCAAAGTGTATGTTTATGTTTACTGGAAATTTCAAATTTTCAAAAAGAAAAGAAAACAATAATTAATATTCTTCAGAAAGATACTTGCGATTATTAATTCGAATAATTTGTGATCTAACTTAAGGTACTTTTTAGTAGTAGTAACAGAGATTTTTTAGACACCTGTAATTACTGTATTTTAGGAAGAGATTTTGTAGGAGTCGGGGAAAATTTATCAGAAATCATCTATTTACTGAAAAAAAAAAAAAAAATAATGTAAAATTATTAAGATATACTGCATACAAAAATAATTTTCAATTTTCAAGTTCAGTTGAATTAAGCTATCTTTTCAATAAGTGGATTAAGTGCTCCAAATTTTAAGAAACACTAAAGAGTAATTTAGATGTTTTAAAACATTGCATTTGTTGTATGATTAAAAAAAAAAAAAAAAAATAATGGCTTATTGATTAACATTAATTGATAACACATGTAGACTTCTAGAAATTTTATCTTTTTTAATACAATTTTTATTCCTAACGTCAACATACTACCATATTTTGCATAAAACTGCTATTATATAATATATTACAATGTTATTTGACTATTCGCACTACATAACAACTACAAGTAAAATGGACAATGGCAATTTCCTCCCAAACATCTATGTAATTTATATCCCTGATTTGAACTAAATTGTGATGAAGAAATTCATCTCAATATTTGGTTCATATCGAACCTTACGTCGATTTGAATAAATTGTACAGAAGGCAAAATTTGACCAATTTATTATATTGAAATAAAAATTATCGCTGATCGCAATTATTAAACAAAGAAAGTTTGAGGTAGTTGTAGGAGGGTAGTGAATGCCAGATTACGATAGCCTTGATAAAGGATATAACTTTTTATATAATAAGCATTAACTTATAACAAGATGCTTTAATTTTACAATGCCGTAAATGTGGTCAAATAAACGAAGTGTCAACCTTGTAAAACTGGAATACAATTTACAGTTAGTAAGGTATCGACAAACAACAAAAGAGGTCAACTAAATAAGAACTTAATAATTGTAAACAATCTAATTGGAGACTAATCCAACACCCTGTTATTCTTTGATAACAAATATTTGATAACAAATAATGTAAATAAGTTTGGATACATGGAAGAATTAGATGATTTCTTGTATGACATCGAAACATTTGTCTAGGGAATGTTCAAACAGGACTTTATCTATGCATTTAATGGGATTTTATTTCTACATATGACAATTTGGTTCTTCACACAAACCCTTTTTTTTAGCAATGTACGACACATAAAGGAAACTTTTATTTCTATAATGGTACTACAATTTATAAATTTACTAGTAATAATCTAAAACAACTATTAAAATAACAAAGAATACCTCGTAAGTACCAGATCTATAACTACTACATGATACCACGATCAAAGGGAGCACCGGAATTTGTTAGAGATATGCGTAATGATTGTCAGAAGACTCCCAAAATCAACAGATAAGGCATCTTTGACATTAAGTATCTTAATTATTGTACCACTCCAGTGCTGTACGAAAATTTAATATGTCAAAATGAGATCAATGTATCATAATTTTTTAAACTTAACAAGTACTGCTTCAACGGATGTCTGTAACACCGGTGCAACAAAATATAACGCTGATAAATAAAGCGCTATAATAGCAGCTAACAAAAGTTCAAAGATTGCTGGTTTCGCTCGATGTGCCGTTAAGCGATCTTCGAGTATACCATAAAGAGATACTTCTGCTACGGAAACTGGTTCCACTACAGTTTGTCCAGAAGTGTACCTGGAATCAATATATAAACTGCCTAAGATAACGTATTTGCTACAGATGTATCATAGAGTGATATTTTATTACGAAAACTACCTATACTAACAACATATAATTGAAATAATTATATTTTGAAAGAATAAAAAACCCAATAACCAATCAAATTCAGGTGGTCTAATTTTAGTTTTAGAACAGAAACCATAAAAAAGTAATAGTAATATATCATTGAATAATATATTAATAAAATAAATAAATATATATATTATAGTGGAAATATAAGAAACGATTCAAGTATCATCAATTCCCTGATGTAATCTAATTAAATAAGGAAGCGCTTTTCTTCTAATTCTTGATTGTGACAACATAACATACCTAATTACAGTATCCCTAAGATTAGATATAAGCCAATCGTTATTAGCAGCCAAAGAACGAGATTTGCTTCCAAATTGTCGCATCCAGTTTGATAATCGTTTTCTGTTAATATCTCCCGGTGCCATAATTGAACAAGTTGAAACATTTTCTTCGCGCGCACATTTCGCATTTGGCAAATTTAAAACATACACCAAAAGAGCTTCACCAATAGTTCGCACATTTGTCTGGAAACTATTCGAACTTAACGATTTAAATGATTATAAAAATAATAAAAATAAAGTAAACCTGCTGAGAGATAAATTATAATTAGATTCACCAACAACAGGAAGTGTATGAAACGTTTCCGTCCGTCCGTTCTTACTATATCTACATGTATATTTCCAGTGTAAAGTATTACTGTACACACACACACACACACACACACACAGATGCACACACACACACACACAGATGCATACACACACACAGATGCACACACACACAGATGCACACACAGATGCACACACAGATGCACACACACACACACACACACACACACACACACACACACACACACACACACACACATACATACATACATAAGTAATGAACGGATATCATTTCCAAAGGACTATTGCGATTTTATGATTCCAAGAAAAACAGTTCAATTAAATAAATTAAACAGATCGGTAAAGAAGTTGGTCTGAAAATGCCCATACTTCTAAAACTTCCATATCGACTTGTGATGGTGTATCCAAAAATGAATTTCGACCAGAATCAGTATGTGATTTGAAATGTGACAGCGTGAGAGCAGGTAAGCGTTGAATTGAAAATCTGAAAACTCTAATGGTAAATCAGATTCATCCGAAATAGAATTCTCGACTAATTTTTTAAAACAAAACAGCGATTTTATATGTTGTAACTCTCATTTAAATCTAATAATAACAACTATATATATATGGGCATCTGTAACTCACTTATTTTGAGTTTCTTTCAAACAGACAATAAGCTGAACTTAGAATTTGAGATCAACTAAATAAGCAATAATTGGTTCTCTTAAGGAAGCGGAACGAGTTCTTTTCCAACGACAATCTTTCAACAATTACTGAAACATTTCAAGAACTTTCAGCATTTGTAGAAAAAGATGGAAAATTGTACCTTTCATGTTCCCATGCAAGCAAATCGGCATTCAGATTAATCTTCTTCGACACAATTTCTACACTTCGATTTGGAGGTGCAGCATCTTTCAGTAGCAAAAAAAATCGTCCAACAGGAGATGTTTCAGCAGGCATCTTTGATACATGCGCTATAAGGCTGCCATCTTTACCTACTGAGTCAAGACATAAAACAAGTTCGACATTCGTTTCTGCAAAACAACTTTAATATGTACGCCTTTATCTTCAGATGAAAAACTCCGCAAACTTAGTCACCCATTTTTTTTCATCTTTAACACTCAGAACTTCAGAAATCACATTTCTTTTCCGCTGCGTTATAAATATCTGCCGCTTAATTTATTGCAAAAGTAGGGTTAAACCTAATTTGCTAAAAATAATTACCGCTCTGCTTATCAATATGCTCTTCTAGCCACTGGCGACTACCTTGATAATTGAATTTTCCACCAGCGGTCAGCAAAAACATCATATTATATTTAGGTTTCATTGTGTTCTAGAAAAGAGATGAATGTGGAAAAAAAAAATGAAAAAGGATTGAATGGACCTCTTACTCGAAGATTCGAAGAAGTAAAATAATAATATTTTCAATGACATATGAAGAGAAAAAAGACCATAAAAAAAATCCTATTTAACAAAGTGCTGAAATCGTGTTACTGAAATCAAACATATGCTAGCAAATATTAGAAAAATGAGTTAGAAATGAGTTAAGTAAAATTGAACGCAAGCAATCGACCCGAGAACAGAATCGTGTTGCAAAAATCAAACACGATTTCAGTTCTACGGGTTGATCGAAAACGACGGTAGTTACTGATAAAAGGGCGGAAATAGAATAGTCACAGATATAAAATATCGTTGGCAACGTTAGACAAAAGAAAAGACAATGTAAACTAGCAGAAAAATATAAACTTACAGAACTATAGAAGCGAGAGAAGATTGCTAGTAATTCGAGCAGTGCTGCTACCCCACTTCCGTTAGCATCTGCACCAATTGCCAATCCTGGTATTGCTGAATGGCTATCATAGTGTGCTACCACAACAACTAATGGTGAATTTCGATCCGCTGACCATAGGTGTCCCTTGAAAATAGAATTTCATTTCTATCTTAACTAATTTGCAAAATCGGAATAACCTTCTTTATTTTTTAATTTTTTATCTTCCAAGTCTGTAACAATGAAAGAACATACTTTTTTGGAAAAAATCTACATTTCACTAAACATGAAATAGTGGAAAAATTGAAAAAATTAAATAAAATATGAAAATACCAAACATGTACTAGAAAATAACATTAGAAAATCAGAAAAGATAGAGCAGAATTTACAATAAAGATAAATCTGGGACGTGCATACCAGTAATGAAAGAAAGAAAAGTAAAATAGAAATTATCTTAAATAAAAATTATAGCTGACTAGTCATAACAGACTAAATATTCGTTCGAACTTTCTGGATCATAAATTAAATCAGGATGAAACTGCATACTTTTAAAGTATTTGAAATTTTAGTAAATATGACTTAAAATAACAAATATACGCCAAAACTTACTATGACGTTAGCTGATTTTGGTACCACAATATTATTAGAGACCGAGGCTGACGATGAAAACTGGAAAATATTTGCACTTATTGCATTTAACAATTGCTGCACGGCAGTTGGAGACCTCAAAATTGTTGTTCAGTATATGAAACAGTGATTATTCATAACACATTAAATGATTCTGCAGACTCACCCAACAAAAAAAAAAAAAAAAAAAAAAAAAAACTCGAGCTTTTTTAATGTTTACATCCAATTTGGTTTAATGCAATGGTTAAAACAAACAAAAATTACACGAAACCTTTTCGAAAATGCCGTTACTTCCGCAACGAGAGCCTGTAACTCTGGTTGCTGCTGTACCACATATACTGCTACATCAGTATTTAAATACAAAAGATCTTTTTCTAGTGAAGCCAATTTCTGCAATTAACGGTGTTATTAGTTTTTAAATTCAGATTCAAGTAATGGCATAGCTCTCATCCAACTAACTATTAAGGAATTATTAAATTCTTGAAAAGCTAAATCCACGTTCGGGCCAATTGCAATATGAGTTACAGAATGATAGTGAACTACCGCTACGTCAATTATTATCCTAAAGGAATAGGACCATAAAGATAGAGAAATCAACTACTTTTATGTATTAGATTGAAAACTGCTGCAATAGAATACAATTATTTAGAAAAAAAGAGACAATCAAATAATAATATTATTATTTGCTTCTTCACCTGACATCACCCAATATTCGACTTCAGAATAATTGGGATAAATGAAGTTCCGGAGTAAAGTGATTGCTACAAAAAGCAAAAACTTACTGTCTTTGTTGAAGGTGTTAACGTGTTCAAGTTGGCTGGTAATACAATCAGGACAGCACCAAAGGCCTGATTAAACAACGCTTGCAAATCGCGACCTAATAAGTCATGCCAGTTTACAACTAAGCAACGTCTAAGAACAGTACTATCCAATGATACGGCTTCATATATTACTGCAAATTGGTTATCGTTAAAAGTATTAAAAATATATCAGAACCAGAAACCAAAAAGTATTATTTAATTACGTGTAAAAAGCTAGTAAAATACAAAAAGGGTAACTAACACATCCTTTTTAGTGGAATATACTATAAAATGATCAAATCGTAAAAACCTGGCTTAGCCTATATTGGACTTTAAATTAAGTTATAATCTTCCCCACTCAAAAGCCAATGGTATATTGAAAAATAAATTGCAAACGCCAACAAGTGTCTTACCTTGCCAAGAACGACTACCATGAGGAGTACCAACAATATCATATTGCTGCAAACGATATGCTTTGAATTCTAACTCAACAGAATCACCCAACTGGGAGCTACTAGCCACACACCAAGTTAGCAACATTGATACATAAATAAACATCACCGGGCTTCTCAACTCGTCCAAAAATTCATCTAACATTTCTGCCTACAAAAATTTATCAAAGTTTACTTTGCATCATTTGCATATGGCAAACTTCCTTCATTACAACGAATAACACATCACATTAAGATGCAATCTTGCAGTAGTACTGAAAAGTGCTAAAGTTACTTAAGAATTCATGAACTAATTGATTACTATTTATAAACGGACTAATTTCATGGATGATTGATTGGTATCCTTTTGAATTTTAAACTGATATTTCAGAAAGACACGCACAACACTTCCAAATCTATACCAAAAATGTAAAATTATATTTACATACCATATATAACAAGGATGCTTATGATTAACCATATGATAACTTTCATTTTAAACACATTAAAAACTAAAAACGAAAGAGGGAAGAATCTAGCAATTACAGTGAACAATAATTTACATAAATCACTGAAACAATGAAAACTAAACACTTAAAAAAATCGGAAATTTGCAATAGATATTTCCCGCTAATGTACTACTCGCCAAAAACGTAAGACTTAAAAAAATATATATATTTAAAATAAAGGTTTTAAAAAATATATATGTATTGTAACATACAACTATACCCATCCACTAAATCTCCCAATGTTAAAATCTGATCATCGAACAATATTACTCATTCACGTGATAACACGCATCAACGTAGCTTACGTTTTAATCAACGTGAACATAATAAAAACTGTGCAAACATGTAGAAGGGAGTAAAGATGAAATAAGTGAAAGGCGTATAGGCCACTACTTGCATACACGCACACACTTAGACATACACACAGACACAGACACACACGCACACAGACAACCAGACACATCCTCTCATCTCATGGCATTTTGTCTCCAAGTTGTGTGAATAAAATAGCATATTAAATGAAGAGAAGAATGAGTAGGATAAGACATAGAAATATATGCTAAATTTTGGAAATTAGACGAGAGGGTATGAAAAATATATCTTTAATAAGACATAATGTAGTCTCAAAGTGCCATACAATAAGCGCTCAAATTAAGTAAGGCAGTTAAGGTGCGCAATTTGTTAAGCTTATTTATTATATACTTGCATATTATGCCATAAGATTGTCGTGTCCTAGCAGATAAGTTAATCTAAGTATATCACAAATAGCATATTTTGTTAATTGTGTGTTCCTTCTCAGTTATTTATACCACTCTTTTCTATTTAAATTTATATGCGAAATCGTCATACTACTTTTATTAAATTATTACTTATAAAGTGAACAGCGAAACAATTAGCAATTTATAAAAATATCAAGCGAATGTTTTTGAGTGATTGTTTCTATCAAAAGTTTCATAAAATGCTATAATGGACATTTCATATTGGATATTTATTATTTCTATAATTGCAGTTATTTGTTAATTCTCTTACTTTTAAGGAAATGGCTCAACTTTACGCACGCAAACTTTTCGCCGGTTTAACGCGTAATACGACAGCATTACGTACGGTAGCGATGTCTATGAAACGCCCCTACGCAAAAGTTGCTTCACCTGAAGACTATGGCGACTGTAAGCTTTTCCTGTAAAGCAGTTCAACTCTTTGCAGAGAATTTAATTATATTTACTTCACTTCTGATAACTTCGATAATAAGCTGAGTATTTTTTTCTTTTTTAGTTTCTTTGGAGTGACATTTGATGAAGAACATGGTCTGAGGTGTTTAATTTCATCTTACAATACGTATTGCTTAGGATATGTGTTTCAGTTATCGAAGTCAACCAAATTTAATATGAATAGTAACGTGTAGTTCGGAATCAATTAGTTACTAATTTAGAAATTAATCATGATATTGATACACTGTAGGGTTTTATTGCATGGAAATGGAAAGAGCTGAGTTTTAATAGAAATGTTAATTTATCTCTTTAATTTTTTCACATTACTTGAATTTGCAGTTTTGTAACTTAAAGATTTGACTCATACAAAAGCTTGGCTCAGTTTAAATTATTTTTAGACACGGATCCGTTGGAAGCACACGAGGAATCAATGAAAAGAAGACAGCTTGTCGCAACACTTGCTGGTGATGATGTGAGTTGTTCACTTCAACTGTTAGCATTAGACTGGGACATACTTCTATTAAATAACCGAGTCTCAATTTTTGAGAAAAACAGGATTAATGGTCGTATAGAGAATGGACTCGCTATCTATATGAATTGGCCCGAGATTTCAGTGATTTATTTTCCATTGAAATATACTATTTTTTAGCGTTATGAGACAAAAATTTATTACAAGTTGGAAAATTCAACACGTGAAAACCCGAATCTGGTCCCTTCAGACTTCGATTATCGAGTTCTAGCTTGCTTCTGTTAGTTTATATTTCAGTTCAAAATTGAAATCGATTTGGCATCCGAATATGGACTAATGAAGTAGTTTACTATATGAGTTCATTTTTTTAAACGGTTTTGCGTAAATAACATATTTTGGGAAGAATTTTCAAAATCTTCGAAATTCAATAAAGAAATTTTTTTTTTCAAAATTTAAAATTTTTTTCGAAACTATATATTACAAACTACATTATATTTGAATTCCAATTTCATTGGTATCCTTTTAATATGAACGATGGAAATTAAGGATGAGATGATCTGTGTGTAAATCAGCATTTTGTTGCAGGTGAGCCGGACTCAACCTTTCCAGTACTCTTTGTTTTACATGAAGGGGAACCGCAGCGTTGCCGTTGTGGCCACTGGTTTAAACTTATTGATCAAGAAGGCGCAGATCATGTTTGAATCCTCCATGTTTTCTTTCTATATTTTGTAAGAACTAACAGTGCCGCTTGTTTGAACATTAGATTTAGGTAATTTATATCCTTTCAATTTCAGATATAATTATCTGTTGTTGTATTTTCTTCCTTTTGTATATAGAACAGAACCAAGTACAGTAGTTTTGTGAATCTCTTGAATTCACATTTTCAGATTCTCACTATGATGTTTCAGAGCAAAACAAGTAAACTTCAAGCTGAAATTTCAGTCTAAATTTAGTAACTTTTATCTGATTAATGGGTATATTTTGTGTTCATTTCATGAAAACATCTGACTGCTAAGTACTGCAGATAACACCAACCAACTCTGCGAAGCTAATAAGCATCTAAGTACGATTATATAGTTAGGGTCATAAACTTGTTTTAAAAACCGCACTGAATGACCATATATTGTGATCAATGATGCTCAAAATAAAATGTGGACATATTTGATTTATTTTGGAAAACATAAGGGAAAAGATTCAACATAAAAAGAAACTTTAAAACGCACTAGGAAAGAAAGACATGAACGGCAGGAAATACATTCAGCACAGTGTCTTGAACAATACAGGACTGTGAGTAAGAGCAGGGAAACAAATCGCAAATTTCTTGGGAATTGTTTTCACCAAAAGAAGAATCACTAACTTATATGCTTTTAAATTAAAAAATATGCTTATGACAGAAACGGACAACAAATGTTGTTATTTGCTACATAAGACATCAGCTAATAACTGATGTCGTTTTTTTTAACAATTAAAATATTGCTAAAAAAACGAAAAAAACTGAGAGAAAGCATGAGACATCCAGTTTAGCAAGAATGCCCAAATAATTCTGCTAAGTTCATCCTTCTTTTCAATGCTACGCCATATTAGAATTCATTTTAATATTTTATCCTGATCTCAGGCATTTCTTAGACTTGATTTTGCATACGTATCATAAATTATATATATATATGATTTACGTATGATAAACTTTCCAAATAATTCCTATTTTACCCTAAATTCATTCCACCAATATTCCCATTAAAGCTTAAACGGAAAGTATAAGACAATATTTGAGCTATTTCTATCTCACCTTTTCTCAGACTTGCACGACAGTGAGTATAATACGAAGGTTTGCGTGTATGTGAGAGAGAGTAACTGAGGGAAGTAGTCCAAATTATTTCAAATTTTGAAATGATTAATGGGAAAGACCAAACAAACAAATTGCACGGTAGGCCTAATTATAAAGCGATAAAAAAGAGAATAACATTTTTCAGTAAGAATAAAAATCATTGAATACGAGTTCGACAATTATCACTCTAATAACAACATCAGAAAGAAAGCAGAACCTAATTTCAGGACTTGCATGATCATACCATTAAATCAATGGTTAAATTGAGAAAAGAATGAAAGAACTGAAATCCTTAGGAAAAATCGAATTATTAACCAATTAAGCAAATAGTTCCCAAAGCCAAGAATGGTAACAGAAATGAATAAAAAACAAAGATTTAACATAAAGAAAATTCGTATAAAATTACAAAAAATTACAAAAAAATGAAGTGTAAATAAGTAAACATAACAATCACAGTATTTTGCTCAACAATTTCGGTCAATCATTCATACAAACGTACAAGCAGCAAATACAAACATACAAAGAGATGGAAATAATATGCCTTAATTAACACGATGACCGTTTCTCTTCTTTGATAATTTAAATTCAACAATTAATACTTTTCAAGACATATGCTGATCATAGACAAGAATTAGATGTCATAAGAAATATGATATTTTAAGTCAATCAATTATTTATTTCCTTAAATTACTAAGAAAGAAATCTGAACTGGCAAAATTCATAGCTATCACAGGTACCTAATTTATAGCTTCATTTCATAGAATTTAGGGAAGCAATAAAGTGATACTCTCCTGTTTTTCCAAATAAGTTCTCATCTACCCGATAAACATTTTTTTTTCTCTTTGCTTACTTTGTATATTTTTTCTTAATATTCCTCATCAAACTTCATATGAAGAAAATAAAAAAGGATAACCAGATGAAACGAATTAAAATATAACTTTACTAAGGAAATCTTCACTAAATGTTGAGTTCCGAATTATTTTAAAAATCAACCTCACATTCTGAATCCTATGTAACTAAAAACTATAGATCCGTATTAAGTAAAAAAATCATGCCAACAAATTTAATAGCTTTCTGGAAAACTAACATCTCGCATTTTCGCATTGTAATTCGCATTTTGCTCATTGCACCTTAAAAGAAACAATTTACTCGAATTACGAAATTTCGGAAGTTAAAACAAAAAATATTGCAATATTAAAATTCCAAACATTGTTCAAGCTTCACAGCTTTAAAAGTGATGATTACATCACAAAGATTGATATCGCAAAAATTGCACCATCTCGCTAAAGCCTCTGCACCTAAAAATATACCTAAAAATATTTGCCAAAGTTAAACTTTAGCAACTATCAATAAGCCGTTGTCTATAAACAGATAAATTAACTAAACAACAAAATGTGAAGCAGTACACAATATAATTCAGTTAGAAGAAACCGATAATTAAAAATGCCATTTTTCTCTCTCAAGCAATAACTTCAATTTCATCCTCATCACGAAGTCGATCATCTGCATCTGCTCCTGAAGCTTGTGTCGTAATTTCAGTCGGATTTGCTGGTACACCACGTTGCCGTTTCTTGCCTAATAATCCATCAGCAGCCAGAACTCTGAAAATTTTCAAAGAAACTGCTTTACCTAACCTAGTTTAAAAAACTTGCTTTCATAAAGCATAATTTTTATTAAAAAAAGTTTTATATGGTATTTAAAGCAGTGCGAAGATAATTTGCAAGGAAGATATCATAAAGGTTCTGATAGAAAATTAGAAGTAGAATGAACCATACGTTAAAACAATTTAACACCACGCATATTTCAAACTGTGATGGCCAGTAATTTTCTATGATGTTTAAAATTATTTTGTTTGAAGCTTACCTATATAGAAGGACGATATTAGTGATGGCAAGTGAAACGATGACGACAAATGTGATCAGTGTAAGGTACCATACCATTTTCCACGCCGTAGTAATTTGCCAATACAATAAATAAGTGCTAACAGCCATGCGAAATATAATAAATGTAACAATATTCAGCAATGCAATAATACGAAATGGTGTTGAAGATTTGTCAACTCGATAGAGATTCAACATGGAACGTGAATGCAGAAAAATACTATTAAGTTCCATCAGAAGCCCACAAACAACCACTCCTGAAACTTAGCGATAATTATGTATACAGAAAAACTGTCCCCTACTTATTTCTTCAAGGAAGTAACTGGAAATGGAAAAATACGTTGAGGAAAAACTAATGAAATAATATGTTTTTGACCTTTTTTTAATGCATTATTTTCTTGCTTGCAATACTCACAATTATTCTCATGGAGATGCAAGTATCATAATCACCAAATGTATTTATTGCATTTTTATAGAAGAATTAAATTATGAAAATAAAATGAAAAAAAAAAAAAAAAAAAAAAAAAAAAACATTCCAAAGATAACTAAAAATTTTAAAATAAAGGTGAAAAGGAAACCTAAAAACTGATTTGTCGCATAGTTAGTACCAAACGCTACGAGAACGACGACATGATGGAAGAGTAATTCAACGATTCGTAACGATTGCTCGTTCATAAGCAAATCAGTAAGGTCATGTATCAGATAGCCTGTTGAAACTATCAGCTATAACAAATATATCGTTAAAAATAACTTTCACTGACCAATTTTTCACTTAGCATTGTAGCTGGTACGAATATCACAAGCTTACTTCTATTATCAAAAAAAATAAAAGGAATATATTACTCCTTTTCGAACTTTGTTTTCGGTTCTACCTTCATTAATTACTCACTAAGTAATATAGTTTAAATATTGACTAGTTTCAGCACATAAGAAACTGCTGAGTTCTTAATAGAAGAGACCGTTTCGATCTCTTTAACTTACCACATTTTTTGATTGAAAATTTCAGTTGTTTCCTTCATTATTATTCTATGTTATTACCATAGTGCAATGAAAGCATGAGAACTAAGAAAATTTCCTGTCCTTGAACTTATATACTAAGTACTTATTGTCCTTCACAAATTATATATCGATGAGAAAGATATAAAATTGCTAATCTTAAAATTAAAGTTATCTAGTTCGCATAGACGGGTAAATGTGATAACAGACATCTCTTGTAATTAATTAAATCTAAGAGAAACAAGTGAAGAAAACTTACTAAATAATGAGCCATAGTATTTGTATAATTTACCATATCTTCCATCAACTTTGGATAAACAATTATTGCATAAAGTGCCCAAAAACCAGACACTACCGAATGACCTAATGAAACAGCTTCATTGCTAATTCTCCAGCGCCTATTTGGAGGTGCAACCTGTAATCACACCTTAAATTCAATTAAGACTCTTAAAATGCAGGAATTTTTTACAAACTCTTATTTGGCTTACGCAATGTTTCACGCGAAATTGTATGAAAAAGATCAAAAATCATCACACATACCAACAATGGTTGGTTGCTATGAATATCCACAAAAGAGTTTGAGTGATGCCTATTTTTACCCCATCCAAAATATGAAAATGTTCTGAAAGTACATGTTCCAAATAAGTACCATCGAACAATAAACTGCGAGAAACGAAAGCAAATAAATGATAGCAACACCTACAATGAAAATATTTCAGTTATTAAGTTATCGAATTTCTATTTATATTCTAGTTTGTTATGTTTAATCCAAGCAACGCCTTATAGTACTGTATAAATTATCCCATTTACTTTTACATCTGAAGTGGCTGTTTAAAGAAAATTCAACATATATGTTATTCAGAAAACCACTTTTTTTCTGCGCAATTAAATCATTCATTCGAGGGATGAAATTATTGGCTCAATGGAATGAATTAATTTGCCTGTGAGCAACTAATGCCAAGTTTTTTCCAGTCCCAGTTCACAAATTCACTTGTCATACCCAATAATAACCCAGCAGCCGAGCAAATTCGATACTGTGTTGCTATCGGCTTACTTCACACAAACTGAAATTAAAGTAATCAGAAGATAATTTAAGCAATAAAAAAAATGTCAATAACTACTGAATGTACCGTATAAATAGTGCCAATTTAAATCATTGATTTCCTCAAAAAAAACAAAAAGAAAAATTGTATCGAAAACCTAACAAACTAATTCCATAACCAATGTTTGAAAGAAAGAATAGGATAAAAATAAATTTCAATAAAAAATAATATAAAGAATTATTTTTACTTAATTTTGCAAAATTTATTTAAAAAGTTTCAAAATCGAGCTGTTTCGTCTGAAAAAAAAAAAGTTAAATTAAGAGTTGTTCCTGAATTTTAAAACAACCAAAATTATCCAAACTTTCTATTTAAGCAATTTATTAAGCAATTAAAAAAAAAAAAAAAAACTTCAATATCATCTAAAATAAGACAGAAAAAAGTCACATTATTAAACAAATACACTCAAATATATAAAATACACTGAAAAGGTTACTGCAAAATCATTAATATAAATTGATAAACTAAAAAAAAAAATACAAAATGAACAGTGAGAGCAACTGAGAAACAGAGAATAATTCTAAATTTAATAAAATTTAGAATATTATGAAAAATCCACCACCAAGAGAAAAGGTAAAATCACACATCGCAAAATATCCACCAACCTTCTGGCAAAATGTCACTGTGCCTGCCAACTGTCATCCTTTTTAAATTTTATTTTTTGGTTAGTAGGCGTTGTGTGCATGTGTGTCTCGTAGGTTTTATCAATCTCTACTGCTCTCACAATACAAGCATCTTTCGAGTCTCTCAATCACTGCACTTTTATATTTCACATTTTATCGATCTTTCTTTCACTGTCTTCTTTTCCTTTTATTGTTTACTTTCCTTGCATTAACTATTATCAGTGTGCAGTTTCCACATTTATTTAATCACTTATCTGTTTGTTTATTAATTAATTATTCATGAAGTTTTATTGCTGAATAATTAACTTTCAACTAATACTGTATTATTAACTTTTCTGAACTAATTCATTGCTGAATTCACTAAATTATTACTATAAATTAATGATGATAATTCTGTGCATTAATGATTGCTAGGTTTCTAAATTAATTAATTAATTAATTGCTAGTGGTTTTGTTTAACAAGGAAGGAATAATGTAATTCAGTTGAATCGAACAGAAACTTCACCAAATTTCTGGCTTTTATAGGGAAGATTGGAATAAGCAAAAAGATAATTAATTATATTATCTATCTATACCTGTATTATATATATATATGCATAGAAGAGAAAAATTTTATAAAGAAAAAGTGTCGAACTTCAAAATTCCTTTTTTCTTTTTTTAAAAATGCAAAATTCAGTTGACGTCTACTTTTGATCGCGTAATTCTTGACGCTTGATGCACACAGTTAAATTCTTGACTCTTATCGTATTAACACAGATGTAAAACGTTTCTTTTAAGTTAGCAAATGAGGAAAGTAAAAAATTGAAGTAATTGAGCAGAGAGGATTTTGCTATTAGAGATTAAATGATTACCATAGGTAAGTGATATGATAGTTGTTATCATATAATAATTTGATTGATTCAGTTTTTGCTTAACAAATACTTTGATAAAGCTTTGATCGATTTGTTGGTTAGTTGGTCTATTAATTGGTTAATTAATTAGCTTATGGAGAGAGGGAGAGAGAGAAGGAGGAAGGAAGTAGAAGTATCGAAGTAGATATACTTCAAAAAATTATTTGACGCAAAAATTCCATTCTTTTGATGCATGCAAACATTCTTATCGATTGAAAATTATAAAATTACAACTATGAAATTTTTGAAGAAATTGTAAAATATTTAACAAAGTGGAAATTTTTCTTTAATTAGTTATCCTAATTCTGTGTTGTTAAACATTGGAATTCATTCATTATTACAGGTTAACAATGAAACTTTATCAGTAATGGAAGTATGAATTATTAGCGTCGTAAGAGATAATTAATTTTTTATTAATCATTATTTCACTTTATAAAATTCTTCCTTTTTCTCATCATTTTTTTCAGTTATTTGTTAATATTGTGTGAAAATTTGGTCACTCAAACAACTTATACACTCGAGATTGGTCAAATTAAATGATTATATCTTCTTTCCTGAATACCTCAATAAATATTGGTATATCAATGATTAATTACGAGTAAAATCACGTTGTTAGATAAACAGTTTAAAAATTGATAACTTTTACTTAAAAAATTTACCATAGAATAAGAGAAAGAGAAGTGTAAGAATAGAAGATTGAAGGAAGAAAAAGAAATGAAAACAATTATTCAAATTAGAAAAAAAATAAGCAAAACAGAAACAAAAACATTAACAACAATTAATGCAATAATAAAAAGACGCATGCAGTTTACACATGTGATTTAATTATGAACAAAATAAATTTTGAAATGTCACCAGGTAGCTGTTTATTAATATTTTTTTATCATTGGACGTTTATTTTCCTTTTCTTTCCTTGTTTGATAACTTTAAAATCTTAAATCTTATTGAACATAGAGTTTGGTTAAATTTGAAACCGTATTTTCTTGAGTCATATATATTTTCATTTTTGCTTTATTACACCTTTTAAATATCTTCATGCTATTTTAATTATTAACTATGTTATTATTATTACTGTTTACTATTGTTTTAATTAACTATTATCATTTTTATTGTTATTGTTATTATTATTATTACTACTATTATTAATAACATGAATATTAGCATGAGCAAATGACTGTTATTAGTGGAGAATACATGAAGGGATGGACATAATTTTTTGTTGTAAGCAAATAGGTCAGACACAATGTACGATAATGGTATTAAGATAAATTTTAATTTAATAATCATTTTACTAATTAATTGTGTGTAAAGATGCAAAATCCAGTAGTAATGCCCAGAAGAACAGCTGCACCAAACCAAACAGAATACGACATGAATATGAGCATGAGTAGATAATTAATGATAAGTTGTATCACAAATAAGATTACTTGAAGTATCTGAATAAAGGCAATCTTCGTAAATCTGAAATGAAAATTTAATTTTAAAAAAGCAGAAAAGTTAAAATTCTGATATTTTTACTTTTGTAATGATTCTTTTAAATGGTCTTCTATATAAATTATAATTAAGCTTAGTTAAATGATATCGAATAGTACTATGTGTGATAAACTCGGCATTAGAATCAGTACTGTATCTACAATAGGAATATACACACAATTTATATTATAATGATATAATTAGTTATCATGGAAATATCGTAGTAATGTAATATTATCATAAAAACGATAGTATATGAGAAAAATTCATTATATAATTAAAAATGATATAATATAAAAAAGTTAATAATATTATTCACTTAGAAAATGCTTTGCATACATTGAAATGTTTGTTACATATGAATAAATAGGTTTAACTTACGTTTTATGATTTGTTGTTAATGATGATTTCGAAAATGTTAAGGTGAATTTTTTACGTGCCAATTTGATTGCTTCAAAGAATATGCCAAGAAGATAAATTCCAATACAACTGATGATCATTTCTGATATGGGCATATTTTTAATTTTGTTTAAAATTTTAAAAACTTTATAGCTTACCAAAAATTTATCCAAGTTTAATATTTATTATTTTAATATTAAAAAATTGATTCAATGTTCAATTTTTCTATGTTATCCATTATTATCGATTTGATTTATAATTAGATTTTGTTTGAATGACGTGTTTCCACACGGTGAATAGTGTTATTCAAATCGACAAAATGAATATTAGATTTGAGAATTGAACGCACGAACACGTACAATGCAAAAGAGTGTAAAGATTACTTGTTTCACGTTCGTAAAAATTACTTGTTTCACGTTAAGTAATATCTGCTTATGATTCTACTTTTTGGAAAAGTTGGTAGTTTGTCGAAAAGTCATCCAAAACATATTTCTATTACTCGAAATGATGATTCTATTTCTAGAAGTTTTCATATTTGAATTTGAATTAAAAATCCTCGGACGTTATCTTTATAAATATAATTATAATTAATAATATGAATTACATATTCATGATAGATTTGATCCATACGTAATAATTTTTCATATTTACTTACTCCACGTAGTATCGATTTTCCATGATTGAAATAATAGTATATCGTTGGTAGTGAAATGAAACCATGACCACATCACTGATGTGCTTTTTTTTTAATCTAAATTTTCATCACAAATTCAAATTTCATTTTAATAGTGAAGTTGCTTGATAGATAAGTTGCGGAACATAATTGAAATGATAAATTTCTAATAAAATTTGTCCGTCGAATTTTTTTTTTTTTTGTTAAACCGAAATTTTAATTTGAATCAAAAACAAAAAATGCACCATACATATAGAGATACACAAATATATTAATATATATATTTGTTAATATTATCTTTTATCTGATTAAGATTATGAATGAAATAATCGTAAGTAATTTGTTTCAATAATAAATTATTTTTTAATCGACAAGAAAAAAGAGAAAAGAGCAAAAGAGAAAAAATGTTATTTTTATGCATTTCTTCTTTAATTTTATCATTACAAATATTTCATATTCACTGAGCTCATTAATTACATTTATTTAAGATTAGACTTTGAAAGATTTCTAATACTTCAAATTTCTCAACTAAAATTTTACAAAGGAATAGGAGATGATTGATTTAGTATTTCTATATTTCTTCCTTATCTTCTGATTATATTCTGTATAAAAGCTATTGATTATTCGGAATTGATATATTATTCAAATTAAGAATTATAGGATGAAAATTTTTACCAAGTTATGTTATAACAAATTATGTAAATAATTTTTTACATCACAGGAGAGAAAATAAATAAATGGTAAAAAAAAATCTACAAACAATTAATTAATTAGCTAATTGAGTTAATTTGAATTAAAATTACTCGATACAATAGGTTTTTTTTTTAATTTCATATTTCGTCTGCTCTAACATTTTATTGAACATCTACAAATTGAAATCATCTCTTCAAATTCATAATTAAATCAAAGTTTTGTTTATAAGAAATTTGTTTCAAAATTTATTCCTAATTCGTAATTGAGTTAAAATTTATTGATATAATATTACTAAACAAATGGCTATTAAAAGGAACAAACTAGTCAGTTGTTTCACTGATTAGGTTATGATTGAATGAATACTGATAACGATGTGTTTGCATACATATGCGTCATCTATTTCTCTCTTATTTATTCTCTTATAAACTCCTTTCTCTTTCTTTCCTTATTATTTTTTTAAGTAGAAAAAAAAAGGAAAATAAGCAGAATTCTTATCATTTTTTAAAAATAATTTCTCACAATTTGTAATAAGAATGATAAAATCACATTTATATGATAGTTTAATTTATTATATATAATATTATCATTATTTATTACTATTATAATAATAATATTATTATCATCATTATTACAAAAATTATTATAATATATAATATAATTTATTATCCAATTATATCGTTTGATTTCATTATGCGATAGTAGGAATTTCATGCTGAAATGTTTTTTTTATGACACCAATTAATAACTAAAGTTTTAGTAGTTGATAGTATTAAATTAAGTAATACAAATTCCATTTTTTTTCGCAATGTTAAAATTATATTTACATGATACTTGAATTGTTATTCCGGAAAATGAGATTACAATATGATGATTGAATTTTAAATAAATTCTGATTTTCTCATATTTTCATATTACTTTATTCGCCACTCTCTTCTTTTTTTTATTTCATTTTTCTATGCATTTTCTGAGTTTTTATTTCTATTTTCAATTTTATTTGAATGTTTCGTTTTATTAGGACTTAAATTTTTGACAAGTTTTAACGCAGTTTTAAATTTGAAGGAATGATTTTCATAAATTAATACTTGTTTTTATTTTTTTTCGTCTATTTGTTAAATAGCTATAAAACTTTTTTTATATTATTTTCTATTATATAAAATAGATAATTGTTGTATAATATTATTTTTTACTACATTCAGTACCTTTTTTCTTTCTTTCTTTCTTTTTTTTTTTTTTTTTTTCTTTTTAATAATTACCACTGATTAATTACTGATTCGATTCATTCCTTCGATATTTTTTTTTCTTTTTCTTTTTTTTTCTTGTTGTTTCTCTATAGATTGATTACATATTTTCAATCTTACACTATCACATTTGATGGAATTGAATTACAAATATTTCATTACAGTCTGTGTGACAAAATGGGTACACAAAGTCGAGAACAGTCTTCAGTAACTTTACAACGGAAAAACGGATTATCATCATCGTCATCATCAGCATCATCAGCATCATCATCCTCATCGTCAAAAATTCAAACATTTCACGACGCGATTTCACATTTCAAGAAAAATGACCGAGTTAAAACATATGATATGCAGGTATATCCAGCATTTATGTATTAGTTTATTAATTCAAGTTTTTTACAAATATCAATTTTTTCTTCATCTTATCTTCACTCACAACATTACTGTTGTAACAAAGTATGTACAAACTTTGTAATTCTTATTTTAATTGTTTTTTTTTTTTTCATTTTTTAATATGAATATTATCAAATATTTTAATGCTAGATTGCAGGTACCACGACCTCTTACGGTATCATGGAATTGTGATGGTACTCGCCTTGCTGCAGGAGCGGAAAAAAGTGTATCAGTGATAACATATGATTCATCATTTCGAATCGTTAGTATTTGCAGTATATATGTAAATGAAACAGCGAATGATATTGTAAAATACCATTAATATTATGTTAATTTCAGCCACTGTCATATTTCTTATTTGTATAGTAATTTTTATCCCAGTAATTTTTCTCTCATTTTCATATGAAATAACCTATTTCAATTTATTTTTTAAATAATATAATATTAATTTAAATACATATTAATTGTAAGTCAAGTATGTAAAATACATGACATTAATTACATGCATAAATTACATGCATTATTATAGGGATGAAATATTTTATCACATTTTTTATACAATTAAATTTGCAATAGATTTAGTTAAAAATGAAGCAAAATGTATTTATTGCAGAAAACGATTTTTCGTGGTTTTGGTCACAATGAACAGGTTGATCAGGTTGCTTTTCATCCTTCTAATCCATACTTGTTAGCTTCAGCTAGTGCAGATAAATCTGTTCGACTATGGGATATTCGGCAGCCACGGACACATACTAGATTAAATACTAAAGGTAAAATGCAAATACCATTAACTAATATTTATTCATCTTATCCTCCCCCCTCCCCCTCTACCTTTAAGCCTAGCATAATTAAGATAAAAGAACATGAAATTGTCAACAGATATATTTGTTCTAGAAAACGAAATGCTAAAATTTGTTTGATTTCAAGGAAAGATTCTACAACTGTCGTATAGCCATTAACTACATCTAAGAGTTATTTGAAAATGAAATTTACTTTTCTTTCGTTAGTATTTTTTTTGTCCTTTGTGGTCTGTCCTTCTGTAGAAAATCTAAAGAGATTATAGATTTTTTAGGCCTATACACGAAATTTCTAAACTTGCACAGATAACATAGCATATAATTTTCATCATTTACAGCGCAGAATTTGAATGTAGCTTGGTCACCGTGTGGTACATATTTGGCATATGGTGACAAGGAAGATTCCTTAAGTATTCTTGATAGTCGAAATTTGAAAACAATCAAAGTTGAATCGTTAAAGGAAGAAGTAAATGAATTTGCATTTGATCCATCTGGAAAATATTTATTTGTAGCTATGGGCAGTGGACAAGTTAATATTTTTTCGTAAGTTTTGGACATTTTTTAGGGATGATGGATATATTATATTAAATAATTTCAATTTTTGTTGGAAGGAGATGAGAGTACTTAAGATAGATAAAAATTGGTTCAGTAATGGTATTGATTAACTCTGTTAATCATTTTATTAGTGTAAATCTGTAATAGTAATACTGGGATATAGTTTCAAATTTAATTCTTCCATTTCATTGGTCAGATCAAATAAAATGAATAGATTTTTCATCTTTCTTCAGTTTTTTTTTTTTGCTTATAAATTTGATATAAATCAATGTGCCAAAAAAAAAAAAACGATTTTCTTTTAATATATTTGATTAGTTGTTAAATTTTAGGTCACCAGATGTGACACATCGACGAACATTGCAAGCACATCCTGCTCAAGCTGCTTGCGTTTGCTTAGCCGTTTCACCGGATGGTCGACGTTTTGCCGTTGGTGCATCGGATGCAGTCTGTTCAATTTGGGATGCTAATGAGTTAATTTGTGAATCAAATATGGGGAGGTTCGTTTTTTTTTTCTTTTGTTATATGTTTAAGTTTAAGATATATGAAACATGACGAATTTCTGCGCAATTTTCGTATGCATATATACGTGCACAGAAATTTTCTCGGAATTTTTCAAATTTTAAATTATAATTAAATGAATTGATGCCACTTATTTTTTCTTTCTTCTTTATGATATTCAATAATTAATTAGTGGTATAGTTTTTTAAAAATAAAAAGTTTGAAATATAATATATCTTATGTAATTATATAATAATGTTTGTATAATAATTGATTATCTACTAAATTATCATGAATGCACAATGTATTTTCTCTAATGGTTTAAATTTATTTTGAAAACTGTTAGCTCAAATATCATTTATTCTTATTTTTGGCCTCCACAATAAATTCTAAGATGACTTATAATTTGACTTCGTATTGTAGGAGGATTAGTTATTCATCATCTTCAAGCTTTTTTCTCTCCCTCTATGTCCCTTTTTCTGTCCTCTTTATCTCTCAGTTATCCTTAACAAATATCAATTATTACATATTTTAATGTAGAATCAAATATGATTGCTAAATTAATTAATCATTGTTTATTGTAGATTGGACTACCCTCTACGATCGATCTCATTCAGTACAGATAGTCAACTGATAGCTTGCGCAAGTGAAGATCATTTCATTGATATTTGTTGGGCAGAAAATGGTGCAAGGTTTCCTTTTCTATTTTCAAAATTATATCATCATTGTTTTTTTTTTTTTTTTTTTTTTTAATTTTTTTGAAAATTTTTTTCAATTTTGGTTGTAAAATTTAATTTGTATATTATAGAGTACATGAACTTCGAGTGAACGCTGAAACGTTTACGTGTGCTTGGCACCCGAGTATGTATCTGCTTGCGTACGCTTCAGCTCCATCATTGGACAGTCGTGATCGAGAAGTTACAGTAAACATTTTTGGATTTACTATGTGAAATAAATATAACATGCAACAGAAAATTAAATAAAGGAAAAGAAACTATTTTATATACTAATAAAAATGGATATTTACATTGTTATGAATGAAACTTCACTGTGCTTGAGCATGGAATTGACAGAATTTTGTCAAATTTGTTGAACAGTTAAGGTTTACGAGCTTTGCGACATGTAAAGCAGCTCTTAGCATGACATTTCATTACTTACATTCTTATTTGTATGAAGTCAGGAAGTTCAGATTTTTGTTTACCTTGAAAATTTATGTATTTTTGCTCGAGTTTGCTTCTTTATAAATATTATGAAATAATTCTGCAGCTTTAGTCCTATAGTTCACACCAAATCAGGAAATCCTTACAACTTGCAGAAAGGATTACTCAGTTAACTGAACTAACAGGCGTGTTTGTTTACGTTCTCCAATATTACCAAAAGTCATCGCAACACTACTGATTTATTCCTGGACATGTAACATCACATTTAAAATAAAAAGCATAAAAACCGTTTATTTAACTATCAACAGCAAAAATCACAACTGAGCTGATAAAATAATAAGTCTGCCTGAGTTCATAAAACAGGTTTAAACCTGAGGTACAATGGCGGAGGAGTGATGCAGCATGATAAAGCTACATTTTGAGGTATCAAACAGCAAATAAAATAATGATTAAGGAAGTGAGGTCACGAAAAATTCCTGAGTAATAATCATAATAATGACGATAACAACGTATACAGCAATCACTATGAAACACGCGGATTAGTAAGGCTGGAATAACGAAGAAAAACTGTAATGAAAAAAATATGATGAGTCAGGGAGAGGTAGAGAGGAAAAGACAGAGAAAGGGAAGAAGATTTCGGCTATTATAAAACATGCTTATGATGGAATATAAAACTACAAAAACTAACTAGCACTTAGGCGCCTATGAATGCAAATAAAACAACAAAGGATAAACCTAGTCAATTGCCTATGTATTAATTTATTTGTAATTTTTTCTCATTTTTTTTGTAAAATATAAAACTTGATGTTTTTTAAAATAAAATGTAAGACTTTTCAGTTTCTGGTAATTAACCGCAACGTTAAACCCATATCTTCTAAGAGGAACTGTTAAAGTTCATGAATAATAACATCAAATAGCTGTATGGTCCTAACTAAATGGCACTTATATTAGACTGTTAAAGCATAATGAGTTAAAAAAGCCGAAACAGAACAACCAGAAATACGAATGTAAAAAAAAAGAAAAAAAAAACTTTCAAAAAGTAGTTTTGTAATAGAAAAAAATTCGTTTTTTTTGTTCCAAATATATATTCATATATATTTGGAACAAAAAAAAGCCAATTAGTCTGAAACAAACCGAACCAATGCCCTTATATGCTATTATGACACGCGCCAAAAAGTAAGAAATAGAAATAAGAGATTTGCAACAAACGATAAGTCTTCCCTTTTGGTAGCCTACGATGCCAAGTAATTTGGAAGAATCTCGAAAATTAAAGGATTTAAAATCTCAACAGTTACTGTCTCTATTAGCATCCTCTTTGTCATTGGTGATTTCCTTCATCTTCGAACCAGTCTTTTCTTTTTTCATCTTTGACTGCACTTGTTCATTGCTCTCTACTTTTGCCTCTTCCTCATTCTTATCATATCCTTCGTTTTTCCTTGTTTTGTTGCCGTTCTTAAAATTTACTTTTTGTGGGCAGTCAGTAATCAGATGATCGGTTGAATGACATCCATAGCACGCTTTCTCAGCTCCAAGCGATGTTTTACATTTCGCTGCTGTATGATTCCCGTAATGACCACATTTAAAACATCTGCAACTATGAAATAAGCAAGCACATAAACTAACACTTTCCATAAAAAAAAAGGAAAAAAAAACAGATGCCGAAACATTTCCATAATATCTTGCACACATTTCATTGAGTTAAAAAATCTTTTGTTACTTTTTGTTTTCTCAAGGATCAATGGTCTTCCTAGTCAATCTAATCTGAAAGGAAAGTGCCACTTATATACATCAAGTGAAATAAAAAAATTCAGTTAATAGAACGTCGTTTGACGAAAAAAACGCCCTTATAAAATAGCATGCATTATCAGGCTTGTAAAGAATAAAAGCGAATGATACTACCTAGTCATTCAGATATCCGTTATAATAACACATAGGAATGGCTTGGAAACAAGGTAAAATTAAGGTAAATTAAATTAAGCATTACATTTCATCAGTTCATTCACTTTCTAAACAATGGGAAAAAAAGGTGATATAAACCAAGACCTTATAGCATGCGACTTATACTTCCCAAGAGGCCTGATAGAACTTCCTTTCAGCTTCCCACCAGGTTCTGCACTTACAACAGCCGTTGCCTCGTTACCTTCTGGCCGTCTTCGAATCACAAAACGAACACGTTCACCGGCATCCAAACTTCGAAAACCATCCATATTTAATTCAGACTGTAACAGAAAAAAAAAAAAGAATTAAGTATACTATTTCATTATAAGCAATTAGAACTATATTCGTAACGTTTTTCAATATGCTAACAATAATAAAAATGGTTGAAATTTACAAAAGTACACTTATTAAAAATAATTAAAAAAAAAAAAACTTGAATAAAAAAAACTCCACTTGCCTGATGGACAAATACATCATCACCACCTTCATCAGGTGTAATAAAACCATAACCTTTCAAAACATTAAACCATTTACACGTCCCAACTTGTATCACTTCCTTTCCTTCACCCATTGATGGTAAATACTACAAAAGCTTTTTATTAAAACAAAATTGAGCTAAATAAGTTCTTTTTAAGGAAAAAAAGGGGAAGAAAAAACTCTCATAGTTAATATAACCACTCAGTACACATACTAAAAGTGTTCACTCAACACTTCACAAGCAATCCCGTCCTAACTTTACGCCAAAACGTCAGTTACGCCATCATTAAATGATTGTATGATCGCGTAGCCTCACTGAATTACGATGAACGACCATAACTTTAGCACAATGCAAATATTTTGCTCCAAAGGAATTTTGTGACTGTTAAAAGGAGGCATGATAAGAGAAGCAATGAGATGCTTAATTGATTATCAGAAAAGTTTATTAGGAATTAACAATTTAAAGACTAAATACTGAAATGTACTGAAATACTGAAATATTGAACTTGAAAAATGGAAGAAGAATTATTGAACTACACTGGAATATTTGACAGAATTACTGAGCTGTTAGGAGATAATCAAGAAATTTGAAAGAATTAAATTCTCCTTCTGCTAAATTAGAAGATTTGTATTTAGTTATGGTGTTGCAATACTAAATTACTAAGTTAATAATAACATATTTCAATCAAAACAAAAATAAATAAAAAAAAAAAAAAACAAATAAACAAGCGAAAATTTATACAAGCTATTCAATTAAACTATTACAGTGCTCAAATGGATAAATGAATAATAAAGAAATCTTTCAATAAACAAATCTAAAATTATTTATGTTTAAATGAGAAAAAGTTGCTTATGATAATGAAAAATTTTCGGAATTACATCATTTAATTTATTAATTTGATCTGTTCGGATGATTTGAAAATATAGTTCGAATCAAATTTTATTTAATCACTAATCTAAGTTATTATCAGCATAACAGTGATAGGTGATGATGATTTGAAATTTGTCGTTTAAAGATTTGAAATTTTCACTGAGAATATTTTTACACCAAAAATGTTTTTGAATAATTTCGAAAATTTTTGAAAGAAAGAAAAAAAATTTTCAAAGTTCTCTCTGTCTCTCTCCTTCACTCCCTCTCTCTCTCTCTCTCTTTCCCTTTTCCCCTACTATTTTTTGAATTACAATCACTTTATTCTTGAATATCAATAATAATTTCTTTCGACTTATTAAATTGATGTGAGTTTAGACAGTTCCCAAATTTTTTGTGTTTGAATTTTATCTGAGATAAAATAAAGCAAAATTACGTAACCAATTTTACGTAAAGTTTCTCGTAGCGTACATTTCGGGATTATATGATTACCTCTTTGTATCGTTATTAAAAAAAAAGGAGGGAAAAGAGGAAGAGGGAGAGGGAGAAGAGAGAGGGAGAGGGAGAGGGAGAAGAGAAAGAGAGAGAGGGAGAAGCATTTTCAATTATTTTCTTAATTTTTTGTCTGATTTTTCCACGTTCTTTTCATTATTATATTTTTTTCTCAATGATAATTATTATTTCATTTAAAATTTGTTATCATTTAACATTTAAATCATTCCATTCCTTTAACAATTTACTTCTTTTCCATCTTTTTTTTCTCTTTTTTTCATTTCAAAAAAAAAAAAAAGAAATTTTTTTTTTCCCCTAAATTATCATTTTAAATTATATAAGCAAAAAGAAAAGAAAAGTAACGAAGATATAGATTGGTTAATTCATATGACATTAATATAAGTATAATTTTAATAAATTGAATTCAAAATATAATGAAAATTTGACAAATATATTTTGAAATTATTTTGTTTTCGTAATTTGTTTTTGTTTTTTGTAATTCATTCGAGTATTTTATTTCTTGCATTTTTTACTTAGCAAAATTTTAATTTCCAATTGAAATTTGACTGATTTTCCGTTTTCTATTGTTATGTTATTTCATAAATCTTGTAAAATCGTTTGTTTTCTTAGAGCTGAATTGTTTTTTCATTTGTTTTTTTAAGTTATGAATGAATAGTGAAATAAGAAAAAGAGAAAAAGGTTTCTTTTTTTTTTTTTTTAAATTCTTTTATTGAGTATTACTAAGTTATGCTAAATAATATAAATATTTAAAAGTTTTTAGTATCAATATGTTCTTTTTCGGAAATTTTTATATAATTTTTTTTCAGAGAAATTAAAATGATGATTCAATTCATATTTTTGCTAGCTCAAATTCCTAAAAAATATTTAATTTCATTAATAATTAGCATAATTATTATCATATGTAATGGATGTGAAACATTTCATCAGCAACTTTGGTCTATAAATAAAAATAAAAAGGAGACAGTTACATTATTACCAAAATTTCTACAACTGAACGACAACTTACAAGAAGTAAGTTAAAATAGTAATGACTGATTAATAGTTAATCATTAATCACTCAAAATAGTAATTAAATAAGGATTGAGAAATCTTTGCTAATAAAGCTTAAATCTTTTCTTATATTTTAATTTTAAAATTTTATTTCTTTCGCAGTTATACCATAAACTTCTTTTGATAAATTAAAACAATACGAACTGCTTAATTTACTAATAACTTACTAACTAGTAACTAAATAAAAGTAAAATTTCAAGCATATGCATTCATTTCAAATTTCTCTTATCATAACTCTTCACCACATTTTATTATTAATTAATTTTTGAATGAAGTAACATCATTTATCATAACATTCCTTCCTATTTCAATGCTAATCAGAAATTTCTAATTAAATTTCATTTTTGAGGATACTGAAGAGGAAGAATATGATAATGAATGGGTGGTGGAAATAGTTGGTGGATTGGAAGAAGCAAAAGACATCGCTCGAGCAGTCGGATATAAATTTATTGCTCCTGTATGTTTCTATATTTTAATATTTAAAGTTAAATGATGAGATCTTTTAATTTAAGTATTTTGAAAATTTTAATTTAATATTGAAAGTCAAATAGTAGAATTTCTTGATTAAAACATTTTCAAATCTTTGATTTACTCCATTTTTTTTTTTTTTTTTTTTTATTTTTTGGAATAATCAAAATAATTTTGCTTTAGTATATCAATATTATATTTTATCATGCAATTAAATTTCAAAATTAAATTTTATCCTATTCAAATTTAAAATTTTATTTTAGGTTCGCGGTTTTAATGATGTCTATATTTTTTCGAAAGAAAATTATAGAAAAAAACGAAAAGCAGATGATAAATCAACATTAGCACTTTGTCATCATAAACAGGTTTGCACATAATTTATTTTTTTAATTCTAAAATTTCAAGCTTATATATTATTATTATTATTATTAATTATTTCCATCTTAAATCTGAACACATTCGTATTTTTTCTTTTTCTCTTTTTGTTGCAATTTTTAATTTGCAAAATATATGAACAAATTATGTTCCAATAGATTTATCAATTTTATAATTCATTGAAGAAGAAAAACAAACAAACAAACAAACAAATAACCAAAGAATTGTTTTAAAACCGGTCTTTTCCCTTTTTTTTTTCTTTCTTTTTTCTATGAAAACAAGGAGAGAAAGGGAGAGAGAGAGAGAGAGAAAAAAAAAATTTTTTAAAGGTACTTTGGGTGGAACAACAACGAATTCACAAACGTTTTAAGCGTGATTATATCACTCAAACTTCTGTTACAACTCGTAATGATACCAATTATAATAATAAAATTTTTTTCAATGATCCATTCTGGTCTCAACAATGGAATTTGGTTATGATTTTTTTTTAATTTTATTCAATATTTTAATTAATTTGTGTCTAATGATGAAGGACCTTTTGAAAAGTTTTAGAGAGAGAAAAGATTTAAAGAAAAAGAAAATTTTCATGAACGAATCAATTTGTAATAATTTAAAAATTAATGTCATATGATAAAATTTTGATTATGTGAATTCTCATTTTATAATTAAACTATATGAAGTAGTGATCATTTCATTTAAATAAATTTTCCTCAGTTTAAAAAATTTTCCTACCATAATGAGTAGAAAAAAAAAAATAAACGAAACAACAAAAATAATGATTAAATATTAAACTGATAATTGAAATTAAATAAGACTTATAATTTTGTTTATGTCTAAAATTAATTAAAATTTAAACTGAAGACTAATTAATCTATAAAAAAGTGACAATTCTGCGAGATAAAATTTGCAGAGTAATGAAATAATTTAGAAAAGCTCAAGGACTATAAGTGGTGAACCAATCAGTATGCATGTGATAAAAGCCTGGGAACTCGGTTATACCGGGAAAGGTGTCGTCGTGACAATACTGGTCGAAAATTTATTTATTAAAAATTTTTCAAATCTTTCGAGCGAATTCAATTGTTATCATATATTTCAATTAAAACTACTATCAAAAACTTATATTACTATTTCAAAAAAACTTCAATAAAACTAATGGAATTATCAAAATTGCATTATACTCCTTTGACCATATTGTTCTGATAATATATGTTTCAATTAGCTGATAAGCAAATATTATTCGAAAATTGAATTAAAACTTGATACATACAACTTTGTCATTATCAGAAGATGCAAATTTCGAATTCAGTTATCCTTAATTGATTAATTAATTAATTAACTAGCTTGTTTATGACATTCAAATCTACGGCAGTATTTGTGGTAACATTGATAAATTGAAAATAATTGCTAAAATTCAGAAATGAATTGATAATTTTCTTATTTTAGGATGATGGTATGCAGCATAATCATACAGATATTATTCGTAACTATGTTTGTTTTTTAATACTTTATCAGTTTTTTTTAAAAATTAGTAATTTCAAAAAAATAATTAAGAAATAATTATAAATATGCAATTATAATTATAAGAAATTGAAATAAATAATTTAAATTTGAAAAGGCAAAGAAATAAAGATTTTTCACATTACTGAAAATTTGTTTATGCTAGCTAAATTTTAAATGATAATAATTTTTTATTTTATTTCATTTTTTCAGGATCCTCATGCCTCATATGATTTAAATGATAATGATCCTGATCCAATGCCAAAATTTAACAAAATGAATAGGTATATTTGTTGATTAAATGAATGAATATAATAGCATTG